TTTTAGAATAAATATTTTACTTACTTTATCTAAATGTTATAATTCTTGTTTTTCTTCTAATGGATTTCAGCGTAGCACTAGAATCGAATATATTTGAAAGAAAAACGTGCATTATTTGGACGGGAAGTTAGTAACAGCGTTAATATATTCCAGTAACACACGTTAATATATTCCATTTTATAAATTAATCTTTTTTCGTTAAACAGTTGGAACATCCGTTCGAAAGGTGTTATGTTTCAATTTTAGATGCAGCCAAATTATTATTATTATTAAGTTGTACATAAGTTTTATATTTTCCTCTTTATTTAGAATCCCGACCCCGATGTTATAAATGTGTAGTTTAACAAACAGCGTATTATGAAAATGATAAAAAAAGTATTTTTCTGTGAGAAAATGCAAAAGACAAACAATGATGTTATAGGTTTTTTGTTTATCAACCGGTTACCGAACTCAGATTTTAATTACCGATTTAGTCGCCCGGCACTCGCCAGAAAGTCGTAAATCGAAATCTCGCGATCGCGTGTCCCGTTTCCAGCGGGGATCCACCGTCACGTGATGAAAATTAAACGAAATCGGAATGTAGCGCGATCGATCACCAACCAAACACTGATAGAGGAAGCGAAGTTGTCGATAAGCATCGACCAGTCAAGGAAATTGATTCGAGTCAATGCGGGCCAGGATTCGTAAGCCACGAGCCGATATCAATATACGTTTCGAAAACGACTCGACTCGTCGAGGAGTCAATTTCGTTTATCCATGCTACGGTCGGATCTTCGTGCTATCTGTATACACAGGTATACACGGTGTTCACAAAATCGCAGAATGTTCTAGCCGCAGATTGGTATCGAATTCTTTTCGACGTATATGCCGATAAATCTATAATTTCAATTATTTAATTAGCATTTGAATAAGAATTTTAACAAGTTGCACTTCAAACGGAAAAACATCCAATAAAGTGATATTTGTTAACTAAATTTAATTAAATTTTACTTTGGCGGAACATTTTTAAAATTAGTGGTTTAATTATCAGGATACATATGGTATAATTGAAGACTGAAAAGTGGATATGTCTTTCATACGGCTTGATGGAGAAGGATTGATTCTAAATTTATGCAGTCAAATAAAGAAACTTTAGAATAAACTTTCATCATACTATAGTTATTGATTATTTATTTTTATCGCAATATCTAGCGATAAGACAAAGAAACTTTTCTTATCACTTTGTACTGTTGGAAGGAGTGAAATAATCGTAATTTGTTTGGAAATCTCCGTTTGATATACGAGAAATAGTTGAATTGGACTTGCTATATAATTTCGGAACGCGTTGTATATTTTTAAGACGAAGATCGATCTTTATCCGTATCAGTCGCGTGTCGATGAGAGGCGGTGACGATGTCGAGAATAAGAAATTACGTCGTAAAGACTGGCGCGTGCCAAACTCACCCTCCGCCGTAAACCATGATTACAATATATGTATATCTATGTACACCTATGCATATGTATGCATGCGTCTATACTTACGCGGTAGGCAAAGTGCAATCGTAGCTGGGAACTGCATCCATATGCATCGCGAGTTCGTAAAGAACAACGCTGTCGAAATTAAGGTAATATACGACGGAGCGGAGGAAAGTATGTTCGCCTTGCAAATGAGCTTAGAAGCTTTCTCGCATTTCGTTTGATAGTAATCAGGCGCATGGCTGGGCAAAATTATATTATCCAGAAAGTTATATTCAATATTGAGATCGCCACAAAGAATCTAAATGCATTTATTAATTTTAAGCTCTAATGCAGATAAATGACAAAATGGCAAATATTTGCAATTATTATTTACTGGTATTGAAAATTTTCAAATATACCGCAACATAACGTAGCACATGTACACGCAACACACGGAATGACTTAAATTCGCATGTTTTTATATTTCCGATGCAAGATCATTTATTTCAACGTGCAAATGAATAGAAATTCGTTATTTGTTCGTATAATTTTGTTAATTTGAATATTCCCTACTTTGCTGAAGGAATTTTATGTAATTTATTTAACAAATTGTGCAAAAATTATTTTCTCGATAAAAGAAACTGAGCAGAAGCTATTTCGATAGACGATAAAGAAATTATTGGTTGACTGATAGCTCGAAATTCAATCGCATAAATCCACTCACCGTTCCATATATGCATATACGCATATATAAACGCTTCAGATGTGCTGCATTTTTGCGGAAAACTGATTCATAAAGTGTATCCTATCGGAATTAATACAGATTGACCGCCAAAATCATAGAAAACGCGAGCGCTCCGATACCTGATCAATATACCGAGAATTTTTCTGTCTCGATTATAACGATATTTGTATAATGTTCACTAATATTATAAAGCTTCGTGGCTATTTGACGAAATAATTTAATCGAATGCGAACCATCGGGAATGAAAAAAGCAATAAACAAAGAGTTATTTCATTGTAAACTGTTATGTATTCCAAAAGTAACGTGTGTATTGCAAACGCGATTTAATTTATGATTCGGAGGGGTAATAAACGCACTGAAAAATTGTGCACGCGAAAACACTCGTGTATAAATCCTCTTCCCTTCGCTGGAGGAGGAATAACCATTTGATGCGAGAAGTAGCGACGCATCATGGGATATTCCGTTAAAAGAACGAAAAATTCTGCTAAGGCATCGAGTGGCAGAAAGCCGATCGGAGCTCTGGAAGGATCTCTTCCTCTCTGCTTACGGATCTATGAGATTTTTTTTTATTTTTGCCGTAATAAAAGTAGCGGGATGCGTTGTCGAGTTATGCAAAAAGATAACTGTTTCTTCTGCCGCGGCAGTCATATGCATCGTAAGTAGGATTATTCTGAGCTCTTACCGATCTCAACGACAGTCTGCTTCCGCTCTTTCGAATATAGAGAGCAGATCAGTGTCGAACGAGAATGCTGTCCGACCCGATTAACGTATCGGAAAACTCATCCGCGCGATCTCACGTACCCGATGATAGGGTCTTTAAGCCTTTGCTATGGCAAGTCCTAGTGCGATTCGTACTCTTCCCTTTTCCACGACATCCATGAATACGTACCGCTAACATTTCGCCTTTCATGCATGTCGAAATTTCATTGTACAATTTTCAACGTCCATTAGACACGCTCTCGCAAAAACAGAGTAAATTAACCACCGAATTAAACATTGTAACGTTTCTGAATTACAAGCTATTTAAAGGAATAATTAGAAGCAATGCACGATAGTAAAAAATTCTCTATGTGTCTACGTGTTGTTTTTCATTGTTATCTATTACTTTTTTTATTGAACTATGTAATTTTCTTTATCTCTCATTGGAAAAGAATTTTTATATGCACGATAAATTTTTTATCTAAGAAATTCTTCAATACATTTTTGTTTTATTTTTGTTGGTTTGGCAAAACGCAATAAAGGAATTTATTCTGACGACGACGCTTTTACAATTTTTTTTTCTCACAGCAAGGTAACTAAAATGCACTCACACGCGATTGAAAGAATATTATGCGATAATTTATTGCGCATTCAAAGTGAAAAATCAATTTCGTACAGAATTTGATTCTTTAAGACATCGCTACCTACGGCATTGCAATGGCACATAAAAGCGCGCAAAACGCTCCTTCTATTCTTTTTCTCTTCTTATCTCTCTTCCTCACTCCCGATACACGCTGTAACGCGGTCGCATACGTAAGTGAAAAAACATAACGCGGAATATCTAGGAGAAAGAGCGTTCTTTCGACTGCGCGTGAAGGGGATCGGATATGGCAGCCGTAGCAGTGGATAGAGAAGAAAGGGTCGTGAAACGACGTGGAGTGTCGGTGGTAGTCTGCAGCGAGAGACACGGCGGAGGGGGCAGGGGAGGAGGGGGGGGTGGTGAATCGAGGGATGGGGAGAAGAGAGCCGTCGCTGCCACAAAGTAGGCGCGGCGCGCTTTATCGCCGACTAAAGGCTAAGAGACGCTCTCTCTTACACTCTTTTACACGTGCTTCCTGGATATCTTCTCTGCGTCTACCGTCACCTTTCCCCCCCCCCCCCTCCTCTCCCCCTTTCCCGTCGCTTATCGTAACAAGTTCTTCTGTCGACGGGAGATGCAGCCGATGCGTCGTCGTTATATCGCGCTTCCATCGTGGATTCACCGAGTATCGCAGACTTACCCAACCGCTATTCAACCGAATTAATTTGAAGTCCTTTTCAACAAAATAAATATATATCAAGCAGTGAATGATTTTTTAATTGATAACGATTAAAAATTCAGAGCTTGTCGGTGAACGACTCGAAAACGCGCGAACGGTTGAATTCCGTTCTTCATTTAATTATTGCATTGGGATTTATTCGAACACTTTTACAGTTTGCGGACCGCTGACGGAAATACTTGGCATTGAAAATTGAAGATCTGCAATGATGATGATTTCCCCCTCTCGTTAAAGAAAAATCAATTTCAATCTGGCTGTGAGGAGTCCGTGACGAAATGCGGTTCGTTAGTTTCGGAATACTGTGCACATTATCGATTAACGTGCTTACGTAAAGGTGTGCACAAGCGGATAATGCAAACATGGCTCATTCACGGGCGTGAGGAGTAATAGGAGGATTGTAGCATGATGCGGATCACGCGCCAAGTACGACGTGCGCCGTGACTCAGACGTATGATTGATCAGTTCGCGAAGAGCACGCTTTCCGCGGATCTTCACAGGCAATCTGCGCTCGTACCGAGAATCATATCTTGTTGTCAATTATTCGGGATCGTATTTGCGCCGCTAATATACAAATCTCTTGCACATTAAATTGATAAGCTGAAGCCGATCTTAAAATTCAAGAAGCAAGTCGCAGCAGATGTGGCTATGGCTTATCGGTTTCTCGATACCTCGTCGCAAATAAGGATTGCACGACTGTCGCGTTTCTCAAATTACTTGTACGCCATGCTTTTAGCGATTTCCGCTTTTATTCGTCTATCGAAGAGGCTTAACGTGAAACGTTTTTTTTTTTCTTGTTACAGGTGAGGTGATTGGCCAGCGGTTTCTGGGCAACGAAAGCCACGTGGAGCACTTCAAGCTCTTGGAACGTGCGGCAACCTCTATCCTGATTGGTGCCAGGTAATTGTTACGTGATTCGATTCTTTACCACGTCGTCGCCCCTCGTCGCCACTCATAGGGGCTTACATAAATGAGATAGTCATCGACTAGACTCTGCTCATTGGTGCCACGAGCCCCAAGTGGCCGACGGGTCGAGTCATTCATTCGATTACGCATCAGCAGCGCGGGTGACGCAGCATCACGCAGCATCACGCGTATTAGTAGCAAACAGAGAGGCGATTTACGCGCAACAATTCATTTGAATTCTAAGGCCAAAGACAATACGCGATATATCGGGTGTCCCGGATTACTTTTCGCCTATGGGTTTCTCGACTTCACTTTTTTCTCAATAAAATTGTAATACGTAAATATTTTGGAACACTTTCTTGATTTTCAACATTGATGCTTTTTTAAAGTAAATTTTAAATTTTAAAATAAGAAAGTTTAAAATAATTGCTTGAGAAAATTCAACACGGAACACAATTTTATAATCAGATGAAAATAATTGTACGCTGCGCGTGTTAACGTTTGGAAGAAAGTATAATATTTACGCGCCCACCGTTGTTGTAGAGTTTCAATTTGTCTCTCATGCAACTGTCGCCGGACCAGACGCAATAAAGTGATTTATCCTGACAACGATATCGTATGATCCGTTTCACACCGTAACGTACTTGTTAAGGAAAAGTCGACTCCAAATTGGTCAAATAACTCGTAGAGAAAAGGTGTGTCTGAGACAGCTTGTTATCCGCGATAGGCGATTCAATCGATGGACACGCACGGAAGGATAGTGGCCATTCAAAAATTTATCTCGTATTTCGAAGAGTGACGTTCGTTTTACCGTTCTATTGTGCATGACTCTTCTTTGCTTTCTAATATTATTTTATCAATCCGCTCCAGTTACGCTGTCAAAGCAGCAGCCACGGACTGGGGATCAAAAGCGCGGGTATCTCTTTGCGGAATCTGATACAAATACATTGGCTAATGGAAATTTGATACGGATCAAAAAATAATTTAATTTTTTCCCGGTAGTGCTTTCCGCCAACAGTCAGCACAACGTTCCCTGATCGTAAAATCAATTACGTCCGAGATATATAGCGCGGATCTTTTACGACTCCAATTTCGCTCCTTCAGTTTTTTTTTTTTGTTAGATTTATCTCTCGTGCTTCTGCGCCCTTTGCGCATGCAACTCTATTCAAGATTCGGAAACTTGGAAATCACCCAAAAAACAGCTTCCCCGATTCGATGCTCCGCCAAGATTAATTTTCATTAATCCTTTAATTATGTTTCGCGCACCTTGTACTTGATTCTTGCCGTTCTGTTCATAATTACCGACGTTTACTCGCGCTTCAATCCAAATTGTCGGCACACGGGGACGCATGAAGCGCGGAGATTACAGGCGCGATTTATGGGCGGGATTTAACGCTCTCGTTTCGTTTTGCAGGAACGCCATTTACAACATAAGTCTGCACGACCTAACGGAGATCGCCGACCAGGTGAGTACAGCACCATATAGCAGTTTCCAATATCTAGAGCTCGACAAAGAATGATTTAAATTGGAGAACCGACAGGAAGATTTAAATAGCCTCGCGTTCTCCTCATTCTTTTCTCTTTGGGTTACCATATTTCAAAAATCGTCGCAGCTATCTGTAACGCTAAAAAAGCTGCTAACGATTTACCAAACTGCTTTTTTTCTCGTTTTTTGAAAGAACAATTTTTTACGAACGCGACCTAAAAAACGTGATTCATGGAAATACCATATACACGCCGTGGTTGAAAACTTTTTTATGTTTTTAATTATACGATTTCAATTATTCGAATTTTTAATCAGCTGCAACAGCAACAGTTTATTCAAAAGTCTGTGGAGAGAAAGAGATCGGACACATCGAAAAAGAAAAAAAAAAATTTCTTGTCGAAAGTATATTCTTATATTTTTACGCGCATAAAAATTTTGCGATTTTAAACGCGTTATCCTCAAAATACGGTTCCTGGTATCCTCAAAATACGGTTATGGGCCCTTTTTACGAGCACTGCTCCAATTAGTTTTGCGAGAGTGCTGCACGTACATCGAGTGCTCCTCAAGACAGCAGGGGCAGAAGTCACAAAAGCGATATTGATCTCGGCGAACGACGCAACTCGCGAAACTCCACGAGGAACTAGCACTCAGGAGAACCCGCAGAAAGTAGAAGGAGGTTGGAGTTAGCGCGAACGGAGGAGAATCTTGGCTCTGAGGCGGTGTAACGTAGCGAGAGAGGAGATCGATCGGAGACAGTTCCTCCTGCCTCCTTTCCCCAACGTCTTTCCCCTCCCCCTTCCCCTGTCCGATAACCCCCCATTTCCTCCCCATCCTCCCGCCAGAATAGAATCGTAAAAGTCACCATGCCCCGGCTTACCCCTTATAACTCGCACCATATCGCGATCGATCGCCGCGATCGATTTCGATTTGAAGGGTTTAGCTATAATGGAAGGCAGCGGAAAAGACCCGTGAAACTTCACTGGTATCACGAATGACTCGATGCAGCTTAGCTACTTTTGGGAAAGAGACGTTTTCGGTCGAATTATTGTTCCCTCGAATACTCCTTCTTTCACGGAAAACAGATCGAAGCTTGATTCTAGTGAAATTTGTCCGATTTCTAATATTCTTACGTCTTCAAGGCTTAATCACTTATGACGTGACAACTAGATGCATTTTACGATTCAAATTATCTTCCTAAAGAAACGTGCATTAAAAGAATTTGTTCTATATTTTTTATCTGTTTTTTTTTTAACGAAGAGTTATTCTCTCGGTTGTAGTACAGATTTATTCAGCACTCCATATCGTTTGGGCTAATTGTATTATTACCTTTGCAATAAATTATCTGCGTGTGAAAGAGCGAGCGATATAAATTTTTCCCTAAAATAAATTCTTTACGCGGCATGTTTATGGAAGCAAGAATAGATTAATTGTCAATTTACAATAACGTAATATCGATGAATAAAATCGGACGAATTTTATTGTGTAGATTTGTGTGAGATACCTCTGCGAAAATGTGAACGCGGTACAATTGAATCCACTCTTTTCATTCGCGTTTATTTGCGCATATTTTTACTATAGAAATGCTGACAGCTCTGTTATTGACAAAAAAAAAAGTTGAATAAAAGATAATGATACGTCGGACATTACATTGGCAGACCAATTTACTGCAAATTGGAAAGATAATGTAAAATTCAACGTTAAATTGTTATGAGAGAAATTTGCATTTCACAACAAAATCTACTATACTGAGTATTTGATGTCCTCTTTTCTCTATAAATAAAATGAATTGAAAAATGTTAAATTATAGTTACATCGTGTCAATATTAAGGAAGAGAATCGAATGGAAACGCGCGATTTATTTTTATCATGCGTAATATCGACGCTAAGTATTCGCACTTTCTGACTCATAATCGCCAATTAAATCGCAATTTTAATCAGCGTGCCGTTTAAAAGTTATCGTAGTTCCGATAACAAGTTATCCGGATGCTTCACCGTTTGTTACTGAAAAGCGTCGTATGCAATATGCATTAACGAACATCTTTGTTTCTGATTTGCATATACGTTCGTAGTGGAGTCAATATTCAGAATTAATAATAAACGACGTAGTCAGACTATATAACGTACACCGCGTATACGGCGTCAGTCGTATACGGCGATGCGGTAAGTTGTTTGGTATCGTGTAATACTGGGGTTATTGAAGCTATAATCATTTTTCTCGTGTAAAACGGGAACGGCCTTTTCGTTGTACCTTTGCACGGCGTTTCGCCCGCAAATATATAATGCGACAGTCATATTTAAAAGGAAAAAAAATTATTAAACGATCTGATTTGATTTTTATTTGCTCAACTCTTCTCGACGGCGCTTGTAATTGCTTTCGTGTAGGATGTTCTTCATTAAGCTTTCCTTTGAACTGCGTGGCTTCTTTTTTTTAGTACAATTATTATTTGCAATATGCCTGCAATATATTTTCAGTTTGGCTTTTTCTTTATAAAAACATTGAAAAAGCTGTATTATCTACAGCTTTGAGTTACAAGAAATTGAAATGGAAGGGTGTGAAAACTAAGTAAATAAATATGATGAAATAATATGCTTCAGTTAATTTCAAGTACGCTATATCCGATGTAATGTTAATTTGATAAAAATTATAATCTTATAAACTTTACGTGTTTGAGGAAAGAGCCCGTTTTCTGACGCTGAATAATGAAAATTGGAATAAGGATAAAGACGCATCGTAGAGTAAACTGGAGTTAAATAGTCAAGCGTTTGACGTGATTTCAGAAGCTGACGGCGCGGCAGGCTGCGCTTGGAAGACTGCCATTTCGATAAACAACAATTTTGCCCGACGCGCAGAATGTCATTCGCGCAAGAAAGACGTTGTTGACATCGTAATCCTCCCATGAAAGTTTTCCACGGAGCTAATTGAGTCTGCAGCCGCTCTCGGCTGGCGTCGTAAGTTTAGTCGCACGAGCGCTACCGCCAACTCGAAACGAACGAGTGTTATTTCCGCCTACGATAAGACGAGATAATGGAAGATTCGATCTCTTTCAGAGAAAACTTTCCTCCGGTCAAGGATGTAAGTTTAGGAAATTTGTACGCACGGCTCAATAGCACGCACAATCAATTCGATTTGAAGTACGCGATGCTTCGTAAAGGCATTGTGTCGCGCGACTGTATGAAATTTCTCGTTTAATTTTTTGAACGGCAACGGTGGAATTAAATTACATAGAGCTCGCTCTGTATAATTTCTCACGTAATTAATATCCTAAATGTTAATTAATTACTCCAATCTATTTAAGTGAATTAACGACAATTTGCAATTTGTTACGAAATGTTTAATGACGGAACATTTTAACGTTAAATTAAACAAATTTTTCGCGTGAAAAACATTTAATAATTAATATGGAAATATTTGGCGACGCGCGCGCGCGCACGAGGGCGGGAGTTATTTTCTCATATCGCCAAGTACTTTGGCACGGGTGCTTTGCTAACAGGTAGATTACGCGGCGGCAATCCGTTTTCACGGCGATATTTAATACAGCGAACGTAAATTTCGGCGAACGGCGGCACACCTAATTTACGTATACGGGCAATTTATGTCCGGCCACGATATAAGTTTCACTATTACCGCTGGCGAGAAGAGAGTATATACTATAAAGAAACTTGGATCATTCCGGAATAAAGGTTCGGCGCGTAAATTTATTCATGATTCATCTAACTTTGCCGCACTTTTTTTCCGCCCGTGACTGCGAAAACCGTACCCAGAATGCTCGGCTAACAAATTTCAAACTAAACTAATACTTATCGGCTCCACCGATACTGCATAATTTATGCTCGGTAGCTAACGTTCTAACGCGGCTCTCCGTTCCTCGAATCAATATCATCAACGTCTTACTCGCGTTTTTTTGAGAATAAGCGAGCGTCTCACGAGAAATATGTCGATGATACGTCGATTTATTTATCAATGCGTTCTTATAATACGCTCACTGAGTTTCGCAGCAAAACAAGTGAGTCCTTCTTTATAAAGATAGATACATTGCATGCATGTGGAATCAATATTTAAATAAAAAAACGAAGAAAATTGCGTCGCTCCGGCATTTCATTTTTTTCTCGCAAAAATGGATCTCTTGCGCGATTTTTGTATTGCTGCACGAGAGATTTTTCATGCGTTGCGTTGAAAAAAAATCTCCGCGACAAAATGCGACAAGCGTTTCGAAAATTCGCGTTATCTGCGCGAAAGTTTTTCAGACATGCCGAAATGGATATTGTTGAGCTTGTTCTTGTGTACTTGTGCATAAAGTTTTATGCAAAAGAAAATGTTGAAAACACATTCGGAAACTTTTTGTTCTCGTAAAATACTCGTGATACTTCGATACTACAAAATGCAAATGCTTTTTGATAGTTCTTTTTGTCACCAGTATTTTAATTTGAATGTACAATCAAAGCCGAGGAGAAGTAATTTTACAGTCATGATTAATCTTTTTATTAGTGCTATTGAATTCTTAATGACTTCAGTACAATTAAGAGAAGAAATATTTTATAAACACAGATCATTCGATCATTCTATTATTAAACTAATCGCAAGACTCATGATTTTTCTCATGGAGATAATTCTATTCCGTAAATATTGTATCGGCGAAATACTTTTAAGAATAATCAAAAAGATGAAAAATTATTGAAATCCTTTATGTATCTATAAAATAACAATTGCGATGAGTGTTGAAGAAGGAAAACAGCCTAGAATTTTCGGGTAAAAACAAGATAGAAAGATGTCTCATTAAATTATGTGCATGCGCAATTTTTATATACGTATCCGGTTACTTTGATATCCGAGCATTATTTGGTTATTCCTGTTGTTACACATGATGAATCAATTTAGTGTTGATTATTTATATGAGTAAACCATAACAACAATGTAGTGTATCAATATAAAATAGCCTCAGGAATCACGGGACGTGACGATATCAAATATATCGAAAATCG